CCCTCTTTGAGGGGCCTTTCACCATTGCCATATCTTGGAAGCTTTTTCAGATGCTTGTGCTAGTGATTGAGACCATCGATCATCGCAGTCATGATGCTTTTTTATTCTGAAGAGTTTGATGTCTTTTGATCGTCTAGAGGTAGACTTTTTCCTGAGCGATAGAAATCTGACTAGATCGTGAACTTTTGGCCAGCAATGCAATGCGATCCATGGTGTTTTGAGTATTTATTTCGATTGCAAAATGAAGAGGAGACTTCCACAGTTGTATTGTACTAAATTTTGTCCGTTTTGGTTCTTTCTTGAAGTACTTTATGATTTCGAGAGACTGTCGAAAAAAGGGATTCTGGCAACCAAGCTATCTTGTTTTCTTCATCCTTGGAAGTTCCAATTTATCTAACCTTAGATTGAGTATAATAGTTATACCAACTTGTAGCCCTTCATGATACGGTCTCATCAGACCTGTCATTACGATGATCCGATGTACCGATCACTAGTTTAATGCTTCACGAAGTTCGAGATGTCTTTTTCTTCAAAAGTTCTGATTTCCATGGTTTTTGGATGATCTTCTCTATAGAAAAGCTTTGATTCTGGGTCATGTCACGATACATACCATATGTCAAAATGACCGAGTCGTCGAGACCTAGCTTGTGTTCGATTTTGACCTTGCTCCGGCTCCAAATGAGCGACGCGTGGGTGTTTGCAAGTCATCCCTAGAGGTGAAGGTCACGGCCTCCATGATTGGGGACTGGTCTGGTGGGTCCCATCATAATAGTGTACGACTTACCCGTTCAATTTAATTTGGGCCCAAAATGTTCCTAGGAGGTCCGATTGAGCCCAAATTTGGTCCCTAAGGGTTTTTAGTCATTTTGGATGCAACAATGATGGTCTGGTGCTTTTTTGAGGCCCTTAGCTTAGGGCTATAGTTGTAAGGTCTCTTTGTGATGTGATGGTACTTTTTCCAAGGTTGCCTAGTGTTAGGCTTATTCTGCAGTGTTCCCTTGGTCTGGCGGTGTCTTGGGTATCAGCAGGAATAGGTTCTCACTGACTCTCTCCTTATTTGTATCAAGGATATAGGTACGTCAAAAATGACGAACAACAACTTGCCCTAGCGGATGTTGCACTTCGAGCGAAGCAAGAAGTGCAACATTCGAAATGAGATTTTGTCGTCAAAATTCATCTTTCGAATCCTTACTAAGACGTGTTTATTTACTCTCAACAATATTTTTCTTCTCGATCATCGGCGTCAACACAATCCTTAAGGGGGAGATCATGCTAAGCTTTTCTCCTGAAGGGGCCACTGAAGTGGACTTTAGTCGATTGGGGATTTTGCTCAAGGGAATCCATCCCAGTACTTCTAAAATCCTTTTCTTTTCTGGGAGAGCGGACTGATAGGCTGCCTTAAAAATGGCTTACCATTTCATGTCAACGATGCCTCCTAATGGACCAACTAGTGAATTCCCTTGGTGGGCATTGCCCCAATCTAGCTGGTGGGGATGCTTTGGCTATGGGGCCGGATTTTGTTTTGGCACTGAGACAGGGATTTTTTTTTGTTTTGGCACTGGGGCTGGAAATTTTGCTTTGGCACTCAAGCTGAAATTTTTGTTATAGCTTTGGGGCCGGATTTTTGTTTTAGCACTGGGGCCAAAATTTTTGTTTTGGCACTAGGGCCGATATTTTTGTTTTTGCACTGGCGTTGAAATTTTTGTTTTGGCATTGGGTCCGGGATTTTTGTTTTCGCACTGGGGCTGGATTTTTTTTTTTTTCGCACTTGGGCCGGAATTTTTGTTTTGGCACTATGGGCGGAATTTTTGTTTTTGGCACTGAGGCCGAAATTTTTGTTTTTTGGCACTGAGGCAGGGATTTTGATTTGGCTTTGGGCGTCGAAATTTTTGTTTTCGCATTGGGGCCAAAATTTGTGTTTTCACATTGGGGAGTCGAGATTTTGATTTGGCTCTGGGGCCGGATTTTTGTGGGTGCCCTTGGTGGGCGTTTGATCCCATTTTGTTATTGAGGAATCATTGATCTGGATTTTACTCAGCACATTTGCAATTTTCTTGCTTGTAATTAGTTGAGGTCTTCTTCTTCTTTTTGGGCAGCAGTTGCATCAACCAGTTTATTTTTAATCCAATCGCCCTTTCGGGTTTTCACTTAAACTAGATAGGGGTGGTGGCACAAGCGTGGTTTTCGTCGACTCCTTTTTGAGGCATTTTACTCATGACTTTGAGGTCACATCTGCCTTTTTATTTCCATTTCTACTCATGGTGCCCTTGTGGGTTTTTGCCATGCCCAGTTTTCTTGTTTTCAGGACACTTTTACTCATGACTTCATGGCCATACCCGCCTGCCATTTTTACTCATAGCACTCTTGTAGGTTTTCGCCATACTCGATTTTCTTCTTTTTCTCTCAGGGATTCTCTCTTTGGAGGGCTCCTGCTTGGATAGGGCCCACTAGAGCAGTGAACACCGTGGATGAGGTGTCAGGGACGAAAGTGTCACATACTTGCGCCATTATTTGAGCGCAAGAAGTGCTTTTTCTTTTACAAGCCACTGATTGATGAAATGAGACCCGTGAGGTGGAATACATCCGCGAGAAGGTGAAATATTGCCAGGGAAGGCGGGTCGTTTTGATGATGTGTCCATGTGTATGGGAAACATTGCCAAGAACACAAAAGATTTTCTAGTGATTCATCAAAAGTGATGCTTGGGAGGTGAGGCAGCGGGAGATTTGACCGGTGATCCTTTGACAATGACGCATGGGAGGCGAGGCTACGGAAGATTTGACTAGGAGTCGACCGAGGCGCTTTTACAGTGACACGTGTCCGTGTTGTTGGATGAAGCGTTGCTTGGGAAGCAAAGTGCTTTTATGATGGGCTTATCGTCTATAAAAGTGCTTAGGCCAAGAGCGTGAGAGCAATTCCTTCTATTCGAGAAGCTTCTTCATTTCTTTGTTGAGGGAGAGAAAAGGATCTCCCTTTTTCTTGAAGCCTTTGAAAGGCCATGCCTTTTGCTGAGGCTGGCTTCCGGGCCTCAACTCTTGGAGTGTGTCCGAGTATTCAACCTTACTCTTTTAGTTATGTCGAGAATAAATTTGCTTGTAGAACCATATATACATTGATTATTATTAGTAAGCTGCAAATGTTATTTTAAGATAGCGCTTTGACATGCCTAAAAAACATGTAGATCTTTCTTCAATTTATTTTCAAATACCTCAAACAAAAGTAACTTTTACTGCCTCATTCTCCCACACTCAATAATTTTGAACAATAAGGTTACGATCGCCATTAGCTATTAAAATATAAAATCCCGCTCAACTCATTAAGAATTGCTTAATTATGTCCCAGACTAGAGTCAATGGAATATTCGATCAAGGTAAGAGAACCGATAAGTTCGTGGGTATATCATTTCATCCTTTTTTTAAAGGGAAATTATCGCTAATATACCTTTATTTTAAAGAGAACCGATAAGTTCATGGCTTTTTTTGGACCAAAATGACCTACATGGTAGTCTTTTTCCTGTAATACATTTTAAGCTTTCCGATAATTAAAGCACCATAAAAAATTCAAAAAGTATTACGGTAATTTAAATACGGTAATAGTTTGAATTATTATTATAATGTGTGGTGAAGTCTTTACGATATTCTTATTACCGTAATACTTTCCCGGTCAATTCCAAACCCTTATTGGTTGAAAAGCTTCAAGCTGAAGTTAATATCAGAGCTACCCCTCTCCTCTGTAGTCTTCTTCGTAGCTGTATTTTTCAAAAAATCCATGTTTCCATGGGAGTACGATGTGGATCTACTCCCTCGCTCAAAAACATCTATTTAAGAATGTTTTTGTTTTAAAATTTGAGAACCATATAAGAATTACTAAATTATTTTTGAAAGAATTGAATTGTGAGTTCTGTGATACTTAAATCTAGCTCTTTGAAAATTGGATAGTTTTTATTCAATCTTGAAGTGTTAGGTTTTTCTAATATACATAAGAATTTACTTGGAAAATTTCTTTTGCTGAAATTATTCTATAAGTAGTAGAGATTATTTCCTAAAAATTTGAGTTGAAAATACAGCTAGCATGGATTTTTGTCGAGGGAGTAAATAGATAGTAGAGTCTCAAGAGAATAGAAAATCTTGGCTTGGGCAATATTACGGTTATTAAATTACCGCAATACTACTTTAAGGTATTACGATATTTTAATTACCATAATACTCCTTCAACTTATTACGGTATTTAAATTATCGTAATGTTATTACGGTAATTAAATTACTGTAATACTCTATCAACTTATTACAGTATTTTAATTACCGTAATAATCTTTCAACTTATTACGGTATTTAAATTGCCATAATGTTCTTTACAATAAAAAAAACTATTGTGAAGGTCATTTTGGTCCAAACACAAAAAAAAATTATAAGAAAGGGTATAGGTGAGGTTTTGAAAAATTGAAATATAGGTACATTAGCGATAATTTCCCTTTTTTAAATAGGCGTTGTTTCTATAAGGTTGCAACCTTAAACAATCCAATTAAGGCGCACCTCCAAATTTTATCTTAATATATATTGGTGTAAAAAATTCTTAGGATTATCTTAAAATCTATTTTTATATCAAAATCAAGTTGATCGATTATTGAAAATTGATGATCTAGATAATGTGTTGCAAGATGCACTATTTATGGGACTCAAAATCTTTTCTTTTTTTGTATTTATGCATTTGGCAATGGAGGTGATCAATTAAGGGGTACTTCAACATTAAAACAACATTTCCCGATGAATTTTTCAGGTGTATTTCTAATTCTACATTATAAGGTTGCAATCTTACGTAAGCTTTTTCCTTTTTAAATTTATATATGCTTTGGGGCCCTGCATATGATCCACAAGTACAACATTGTATTTGCCCTCTATGCATCACGACATGGAGAACTGTAGCGTAGTCTCGACGCCATATTAGGTGGCACTTCGGAAGACTTTCTGGGTACCCAGAGGTAGAATAAAATGACAAAAGGGGGAGGAAAATTCTTTATTTTGCTCGCGCTTTCTCTCTCCTTTCTTATTGTTCATGTCCCCTCTCTCTCTTTGAGCATCGATCTTTCTCTCTCTTGGAGGCACAGCAGCAAGAGGACATGTCTGGAGGCATTGCGCGCGGCCGTCTCGCTGAGGAGCGGAAGGCCTGGCGAAAGAATCACCCCCATGTATCAAATCTTACGCCCACTTCCCGTTTTCTCTCTCTCTCTCTCTCTTCATTACTTCCGTGTTCCTGTTCTTGTTGCAGGGTTTCGTGGCAAAACCAGAGACGCTGCCCGATGGCTCTGTTAATTTGATGGTTTGGCAATGCACCATTCCTGGCAAGCAAGCGGTAGGTGTTGCCTACCCATGCTTTTTCATTCTCTAGAATATATGAGACCGATTGGTTGATGTGGAGCTCCAAATAGTTGTTTTAGTACTTCGTCTCAACATATAGCTTTAAGTTTGAGGCCCTAAAGCATCTTTGTTCTATTGACTTGTCCCCTACTCGCGTTTCTGATGTTAGTTGGATATTGCTTTTTCCCCAACTGTTTTAGGGTTATCGTTTTTGTAATTATAGATAATTTTTTCTTCAAATGTGAAACCTTTTTTTGATATCAGGGGCAAAACATCAATTTGAACTTAGTGGGGTGTTATTGTTCTGTTGGATAACTGGAAAGAGTTGTTTAGGGTATTAGCTTTTCTGGGTCAGTTAAAGGACACTGGTCTTCTTTAACTTCTCTTTGCTATTGTTCATGAATGACAAATTTTTCATTTTTGAATCTTGATTCAGCAGCTTCACCTAAGCTTTTCTAATCCATGATCATATTTCTTCGACAGTCACCATTGGTGGTTTTGGACTAATTTTTATGGAGATTAACTTGTTGCATGAGTGATTTTTCATTGCAATGATTTACTGGTGGCCACGAGTTTTTCTCCTTGCCTCTAGCTGAAGTTTTCTAATTCATGCACATGCCATATATTTGAACCTGAAAAATCATTTGTGCTGGCTTCCTTTGGACGATGCTGTTACTATTCTCTAGATACCCAAGTATCTGTGACTGTTGCCGCCTCATTTATTTTGCTATATAGTAAATTATGCTTGTCCATTTTTTCTTGTCTAGTATGTATGCTTCTTGTATGGTAAAAATGCTTTGTTCATAAATTCTTTCTTCTAGTAATCCTATTGGTACTGGCAGTAGGTTCAAATATTAATTTCTTTCCTATGCAACTAGTATTCAGGGACCAAAGGATATTGCTTTTCAAATCATGATTAATAAGGTTGATGATGACTTTTTGCTTTTATATAACTTAAATATACCTGTTGCAACTTCCGTCTTCTACACTTACTATTTTATGGAGAATAACTGGTGGTTGTGTTCTATAAGATGTGTTATTAATCTTGGATAGTGAACTATTTTTCATCTCGTTTTTATTTTTATTTTTGGTTTCTTGAAGGATTAGCTTCTTAATTTCCATAGATTTATCCAGTTATGGGATTTAGTATGCTATCTATATTAATAGAAGGCCTATATTTATTATTTCTTTTCTTAGAGGCCTAGTTACATTCTTTTCTTATCATGTAATAAGGCCACGATGGATTTGGGATGTGACCTCTTTGCTTAGCATACATCATGGTTTTTATGGTTCTAAAATGGGGAGGCAGCATATGGTGTCAACATCAATCTGTCTTAGTTTTGTTAGTTCAATAAATTATGTTAGTCCTTTCTTCTCACATTTTTACATTTTCTCAAAATCCATGTGAATGGACATATTTACTAATTGCAAAGAAAATTTGGCATATTAATGTTTCGAAACTGCATTCCTATGAGTTCCTTTGTTCTTAAAGCTTCTGCATCTGACTCTTCAGCTGCGTTCTTGTATGCCAAATCTCCTTGGTGGTGAGGTAAAAAATGCCATATTGGGGATTGGCCTTTGCTCAAGGGATGGCTTGAATTGTTTTCACATTAGAATGACGAAAAATCAGGTATTGGTTGTTAGAATAAGAATCAGAGCCCTAGAGAGCAAGTGTTGTTGCTTGCAGTGGTGACTTTGACTCATTATACTCCAAGGGACTAGGGGGCCCAACATTGTTTATGGGGGGCTGTAAACCTTCACTATACCACCAAGTTGTATAGTAAGAAAATTTTGGCAAGCACACTAGTAGTGATCCATTTTTTTTTTAATCCAAACTAGGCTCAACACTTCAGTTACATCCAAAGATAACCAAACTATGTCTGGGTTAGTCACAATTAAATTGAATCTCCCCCTTTGGCTTAAGGAGTTGGGTCTTTTGATTTTATGTAAATGGGCCTTGCAGCAACTTGTGATCCATAAGGATTCGCCTCCCTCGCTACTACGATGACCCAGTCTCTTGGTGGGTTATCAAAGTTCAATGGCCACCACAATCTAGGTGTCAGAGCCTTGCTAGATTATTTCCTTTTGCCTTCACTTTTGATTTCCCTAAAGCAATGTGCTAAACCATTCTGTGGATGACTCGATTATTTTCTTTTGCCTTCACTTTTGACTTCCCTAAAGCAATATGCTAGACTATTCTGTGGATGACTCCATAACCGTGGAATGGTCGATTCTTTATGTGGTGCCACTGTTGAGAGTAGTGCAAACACGCTTGTACACACAACTATGAATGTAGCCAGAGTTGAAGCCATTGACAAGGGCTCTGGTTCCATATCTTTCATCTGTTGTTCCTCTAATGGGTTTATAGCCTTTTTCTATGATTTGCCTTCACCACATGTTGTTGCTTTACTCTTCGGTGGCCTTCTTTGAGGCAAATGGCTATGATTTAATTGCAGCTGTCAGATATATGCTATCCCATCTGGCAAGCAGATCGAGACCAAATATCTGTTTTGTGATCCAGACTCCCGATTGACTTCCACTCTCGGCTTGAGTTGATGCCTTTGGGATAATTATATAGTTGTTTGATTGAGATTTTAAGTAGCTTATTGTGAGGAAGTGGTGGGCCTATACTTGATCATACTTGCCATTGAATAATGTTGGTGGCTATGCCAGTCAGTAAGGGCTGTTTGGTGGGCCACCTTCTATGCAAGGATCTCATTGCTTCAACTTCATGTGCTGAGTCTAATGGCATGGCTGATTCTCCTTCGTGTGCTTGAATTTATCAATTGTAATTTGAAGATTTGTGTTAATGAAATTCAGATAACTATGAGAGAGCTCGCCAATTGAGGGCTCAGGGTTCTAATTGCAACAATGCCTCTTGAATTTCCATATCTCTGAAGCGCTAATGCAGTCTGCTTCTTTCATTGAGTATTGAATGAAGATCACATCCCCATTATCAAGGTATTTGTGGACCATCAACGCACTTCTTATCTACACTCTTGAGGCCCATTTTTTAAGTTCATGCAGGCTTCTATTTTTCCATTATGCGAAGTCCAAAGGTGTGGCGAAAGGAAGTTGAAATTTTGTATTCTTATGTAATTCTTATTGTTATATAGAGTGTCATAAAAAAGTGTGATCTCAATGCAATGTCAAATTTGTAAGATGATATCCTCCCTGTGATTATTAGTTGCCTTCAACCTAACAATATTGGAAAAAAGCTACTTGCTTCCAACTGCCTTTAGCATAAAATTCTATTATAGAAGAGTTTTTCTTAAATAAATTTAGGGCTTTCTAAGAAAAAGAAGATTTTAGATTTTTTGTTTTCAAGTCATTGGACCTCTAATGTTTTAATTTATGACTTTGTCATCCACCATCCTTGTCACTTCTTTTTAGATGCGTGAATGACTAATTCACCCCTAGAAAGTTTATTGAAGAAAACCTAAATGAAAATATTTGGAGGGAAGAGAGAAAGTAATTTAGAGAGTGCTCAATTTTCTACCAGTTTCATAGGTAGAATGTTTCCAACTCTCATGGTTTTAGAGAGAGAATAAGCATAAGAGAAAACCCATTTAGGATCATAGCTTGCAATTCAGGGAAACGTAAAAAGCTTAGAGAGAGAACTATTGGTGAGTGAGAGAAGGCTTCTTGGATTAGCCATTTCTTCTGTATAGGCATGAAGCAACAGTTTATGGGCTGTTCGGATCCCCAAAAAGATTATCTAAAATATTTCCAGAAAATATATTTCTTGCAAAAGATATTTCCTGGAAAATAGGTTTTTGCTGTTTGGAGAGCATCTGGATACACCCTTGAATCCCTAAACTTAGAGATACTGTCCCCTCAAACTGATAATTTATAAGGAAAATTGCATCTAAATTAGTGGTGGAAAGATCATGGAAAACTCCACTAAACTTATTGAAGGTCAAGTTATATGAGACTAAGCAGCAATAAAACAAAAGGGGAAGGGCCCTGTAAATCTATTGTTGCTCAAATATAGCTCTGTTAGAGAGAGAAAGTCCCTTGGTTAGGGATTTTGCCTATGAACCTGTTGGTTTTGATGTGGAGGAATGAGATTAGTTTATAGAGAGAGATCAGAGACCAAGGTCCATTCAAGTAAGACATGGTTGAGGTCTTTCCCTCCAACTGCAAACATTGTTGTCCACCCTTTGATATTGTAATGCCAAATGGATCATTAATGATTGCATGGGTGGGGCATGAGTTAGGTAATGGTGCCTCCAAAACATCTTTGACTGCATGAGTGATTGCATAAGGCTTTGAAAACCAGGTGGGCGATCAGTTGTTTGTAATGGACCTTCAAAACCGCCTGGAATACCACCTGAAACTGAAAATCCTGCAAATCGCCAACAAAACTGGTATCTTTAGCTAGAGAGAGGGAGGATAGGATGGGGATGAGAGAGAGGACATTGGAGGTTTTGGCCACTAAGAGTGAATGGGTGGCTGATTTAAGGCACTTGTGCATGATGTAAATGAGAGTGAGTTTCAGGTGATAGGGTTTGGCTTTGTGACAGAAAATTGATAAGAAAAAAGATCTTTTAGGGTGAAGGCATGGAGATAAAATTTATCCAGTTTGGGCTTACAATAGAGAAACATTTCTGCAAAAAAAAAAATCCTTCCTAGATTTTGGATCCAACTGGTGGAAATAGACAATCTCTTTGGAAAACCATTACCCGGATATCTTTTTTGAGGAATCCAAACAACCTCTTAGGGATCTTAAATAGAAATTCACAGCTTTCCTGCTGCATTAATGGCATCTCTACTCTTTCTTTGCCTAATTGTGTACAACCCTCGTAGTACCCAATCACCCTCTCTAAAACATTTGCTTTTACATGGACCACATTAAGCAAAAGCCAAAATCCTTATGCATTAAGTAAGGAAGTGAGATAAACGTACACACAAAATTCAGGACCGTAGTTTATGCATCGCATGGGCCATAAGAAAGCTATCAACACACACACACCAGAAAAAGAGAGGTTTTTA